AACAAAAACACACAAAAAATCGATTACAAATTCAATAAAGTACGACTGTTACTATCTGCTCAACCTTTATTGATAGACTCTAACAACAACAAAAAAAAAAAAAAAAAAAAAAAAAAAAAAAAAAAAAAAGGGAAACAAAAAAAAAAAAAAAAAAAAAAAAAAAAAAAAAAAAAAAAAAAAAAAAAAATTAAGGGTTCTCAAGAACTAGGTTTTACCCTCTTCCTCCTACTCCTTGTTGCCAGAGACTTTGCAGCGCTTCTTCTTACACATCTGAGCAACATTTTCTTGATTGAGAAAGCAACTGAGACCCTCATAATTGCTTGAAAATGCTCGTCAGTAAGTTTGGCCCTGAACTTTGACTTGTTAAAGTTCATAGTGGAAAAGAGCTTTTCACAGATAGTTACTCCCAAAATGTCATACGATCCGCATAAACAACCAGGAGATCTCAGTGAAGGTGGAGGGCAATGTTCTCTTTATTGACCAGGCTTGACTGTTTTTTTCATCCATCTCCCTGACCTTAGAATTGCACTGAAGATCAATTAGCTCCATTTGAAGCGCAAAATGAGGGGGGGGGGGGCGCATCTTCATGGATAAAAGGTCAGCAGAAATTTAAAAAGTTGCTCTGTCTGTTTTGAAATCTAAAAACATGTGATCAAATTCTTCCTGTAGCTTTGCAATGGCATCAGTATACTTACTACTGAATGGTGTGCCCGAGTACATGAGCAATTTACATGTTGGGCGATGTCAGAGGTTTCTCAAAGAACCATAACACAAGTTTTGTGCAGAATACCATGACATTGTCATAGGCAACACTGACAAGCTACCCCTGGTCTTATAACTTCTTGTTGAGTACATTCAGCTCCTGAGTAATGTCGACGGGAGAGTGGACCGCAAACGCTTTAAACGCAGCGTTTTCTTTCGATCGGACGTCCCCCAGGCCGCCGCACGGGTGGGGGGACCCGGCGTCTTATAGCCCGTGTGGAGGGGGGTATTAAGAGCTCGCGCTTCAAGACCCACCGACGCTATTTCCCATTGTGACGTATTTAGTAATGTTGACAAGAAAAGCCAAGTCCATTAGCAATTTGGGATCACTTAGTCCAGGAACAACCACCACATCCTTCTCCCTAAAGGTTTTAAATGAAAAAACTTGTTCAAACAGTAGGCAGGAGGAAGTAGTATGTATGAATTATTGATGCGAAGGAATATACTACTGTACGTAGAATAACTTTTTTATTTTTTTTATTTTTAGAAAAGGCCTGATTTACTAACTCTATTTTGAAACATACCAAGCTGACATGCTCGGAATTTACCCCACTCGTTAACAATAGCGGCAATTTTAATCGGGATTTTTTTATACTGTGTCAGAAATCTACGATTTACACAATTATTGTTGTGGTTTACCTACTAACTAACTTTTCAACCTCTTCTCAAAACCGCACGTTGGCCAGGTTTGTCTCATAAAATGCTATAAAAGAAAAAAAATCAATTTTATAACGGATTTTACCATTATAGTAAATGTCCAAATCTATACAAACATAATATGCATCAGAATTAAACTAGTCGTTGAGATTTGATTGAACCTGTCGCGGAGGCTCACATTATTGATACGAGAATGGGGAAAACGCACGGACCGCTTTAACACTAAACTTTTCTGTCATGTAGCGGGCCGCAAAATATTATCCTCGGGCCGCAAATGGCCCGCGGGCCGCGAGTTTGAGACCCCTGCTCTAGCCTCTAGATATGCAGAGGGCCCCGAAATTGATTTTTTTCCTTATTTATGCGCTATATAAATAAAATTAGAAACAAAGATTCCTACATGAATGGATGAATCTAGACCAAACTTAATACACATACACTTGATTATCTACTTTCAAATACCGAAGGATACTGATCTCATACTATTCACTCGTTTGGGCCGGGGGCACCATTTCAGTTTTCCTTATATACGCTATATAAATATCGAAAGGCATAGACAATACTATAGGTTATATGTGAATTGATGGATATAGGCCATGCTTGGTAGCAATACACGTCATTATTCGTATTGAATATCGTTGGATGAAATATAAATTAAATAATATCCCATCTATTCAGGGCCGGTCTAGACTTTTCAGAAAGTTCGATACTTAAAAAAGGAATATATATGGCAATTATAAACCTATTTTAATGGGATATCTTTTAAATTGTCACTTTGTTATTTAAGGGTTGTCCATTAATTACGTCAACACTTTTTAAGCAATTTTTGACCCCCTCCCCCCACCTTGTCAACAACTGTCAAACTTTCAATGACCTCCCCCCCTATTTAATTATGTCAACATATTAATTATGCCCCCCCCCGCCCCCCCCACCAAAATAAAATAAAATAAATAATTGTATTATAAATACATATTACTTTGTGCTGATCTATTTTAATTACAATGACATTTTAGGAAAACCATTTCATTACATCTTTAGCTTGTTAATCAACAAGTTAAAACGTTTTAACACTTAAATTTTATAATACAGAATCAATTGAAAGTTTGTTTAAGACATAATATCTTTATTTGTGGTATAAATATGATTATTGTCAGTAAAGCTGACAGTTATGGTACAGTTTCTAGCTGCTATTATCTTCCTAAGGAGTAGCCAGGTTTGCTCTATCGTAACAATGGGCATCAGGGACACTATTTGGGTAGGGTAGAGGGGCATTTGCCCCCACCCCCTAATTTGCAGGTTTTATTTACATTGCTATGTACTATGGCGTCTCCAGTAATAAAAAAAACTTAGCAAGCCGACAAGTTTTGGTTTTTGCCCCACCCCCACTCCTGAAATAAACATGAAATGACGCCCCTGATTGGCATAGTCTATAGTAGCAGATTGATCATTTTCATCTTGCGGCACTGATATACCAGACAAGTCAACATCATCCTCATCTAACTATTCAGCTCTTAAAATAGAACCATTGTCAGTGTGAGCAATAATTGCCATGAGCGCTCTCTGTCTCCTGGCAGCTCATTGCATTAATCGCACCCATTTGTGTTGAGGAGCAGGTGCTAATTTCTGATGCATTGTCGAAGCTGTTGAACTTGCTATTTAGCAGCTATTTCAACATGAATTGTGATGCAAAATAGATGTTACAGATTTTGAAAACCCGTTCAAGCAGCGATGTTATTATTGTTACTCACTTTACATTCCCCTAATTCTCAAAGTATCGTATTCCTACTCTATTGATATCATTTATCTTAACTGCACATGACTCTTGAACCGTGTCCTTGTTCCATACCTGCAACAGAACCTACAGGTGAAGAGAGGCCAACTTTTGACTTCTCTTGCACTAACACCGTGTGCTAACATTCTGACCAGCCATCTACAGTGCATAAACACACATTAAATAAATCTTATATTGTTAAAAGCTTTAAAATTATGACTATTTACACTCATTTACACTTATAATTTTCTTTAAATAATGTAATAACCAGTCAATTTTTAAGAGAAAAATTTTGATAGAGAAAACATGATTGTTGACGTCAACTAATCTAAACCCCCTCCCTCCTCAACAACTGTCAAACATTTCCAACCCCCCCCCCTTATTTTGTTGACGTAATTAATGGACGCGCGGAATAGACTAACAATACCCGGGGGGGGCCCATCTCAGGCAAAGCTAAATCGGTACAATTATGGTATCCCCTCCCCCCCCCCGGCGGCTGAGGCCCCTCTTTCAACTTAAATTTCAACTTTCTCTAAAGACAGCCTTCTAATCCTACCGGGAACAAAATCCAACTGGGAACATGATGCTCCCGAGGAACAGGATTCTAATGTCCAACATCCAATAGTAAATTAAAACTCACTGGTAACGCGATCCCATCGGGTAACGTGATCTAATCGGGATCCTATCGGGAAATGGGATCCCATCGGAGAAAAGAATCCCATCGGGAAACGGTATCTCACCAGAAATCGGACTACAACCGTGATCGGATCCAAAGGGTCCGGATACCGACGGGATCGGGATTCTAGTATGATAATATGATGTGAAATTAGTTCATCACAATAAATATTGTTATTATAAAAATATTATGAGCATTCATCAGGATTTCGTTTGTTCATCAAGAAGAAGAAAAAATTTACATTTGACATCTATATAAATTTGGATAAACTATAATGAAAACAATATATTTTCTATGGGGAAAAGAAGTTGTAAAGTAAAGGGTAATTTTCATTTTCACATAATGACTATAAGGAAATTGACAGTGAATGACTTTAAGTTATGACTATGTCACATGTATATGAGACTGTTATATGTCCATAGTATAAAATATGAAAGTGTGAAGTATATGTCAAATATGAAAATATGAAAATTGAAATGATGATTAAAATTAAAGTAGACAAGTTATATAAAATAACCTTAAATGTGGCAAATCAAAAATTAATAATGATTGTGTTAGTTATTTTGTTTTCCTTTAATATATATTTCTCTATGAATTTATTAACACAGAAATGCTCTCAAAGTAATAATTATTGTGTTTTATTTAAAGTTGAAAGGTCGAAAAAAAATTCCAATACAAGGGAAGCAAAGTTATGAAAATAAGAATCTTAAATTATTTTATTGTAGTTACTTCCCTTAAAAATAAAAACATAAAACACATGAATATGAACATTTCCATTATTTAATATTTATTTGCATTTCAATGATATGCTAATAACAAGTTGTTTGTGTGACCATAGAAAATATTGCTATCTTTCTCTTTATATTACATATCTATCGTGATTTTAACAGATTCATTGTGATACATTTTTAAATTCTAAAAATACTAAAATTAAATTAAAAATGCTAGATCTCTTACTTAAAGAATCACGAACGTCAAAGTTCAAAGGTCATACATTTTTCTAAATAAAATAGTCCGTCCGATCGTGCTATCAACTCAGAATAACAGTTTTCCGATTCCCTTATTTGATCTTGGACTTGGATGCAACCATATCTATTCGCCAACAGTAATAAATTTATAACGATTTAAATTTACCTATTCGATAATTGAAATGGCTGCAGCTGACTTAGCCGTTGGTAAATGGGATTTAGAGAATTCTGAGAACTTTGACGAATACATGAAAGAATTAGGTAGGATCAAAGCATCTAGTCTTAGTAATATAATAATAGTACTAGTTCAGTATTAATTAATTTAATATTAATATTTTTTTTTTTAATTTTGGCATTGTAATTATGTTTTTTTATTCTAAGCCTCACAGACCTGAGGCCTATTATATATTATACTTATAGTCATAAATATTAAACAACAAAATTATATTAGTAATTAGCATTATCATTAAGTTAAAATTGAATATCCAGGGGTCAGCAACTTTTTTTAAAACTCGGAACTACATACGAAATTGACTGAACTGCCACGCCACTGATGCGGTTGCGTTGTCTGTTGAACTTGAGGTAGTGGGGAATTATTTCGCCACCCGCTTTTGTTTTTAGAAAGTGAAAAAAAGTGGATAATCATTTCAATTAAGGCAAGGCATTCGTTCAATTAAAGAGGGTAGGCCTAAATTATACAATTACAATGAACGTATTTTAGTGAGCGGAAATGTGCACTATCCCCAAATATAGACCTGTACTCAAGTGTACCGGCACTGGGTAGTATTAAAAAATATTATTAATAAGTTATAGGTATAATTATTACATTTTAAAAAAGGGACATTGTACGCTTGATGTTTAGCACCGGAGATGCTGATGAGTTAGTTGGGGATTGTTACTAGAGTTAGCTCTTCTCTTTTATTAGGTACTTCCGTATTGTCCGGAAATTCCAGAAAACGGGTATCGTAATTTCGTTGTCAAAATGGCGACCTCCACTTTTTAGTTTACTGAGGGTATTGCTGTTTCGCCTTTTATATTCAATTATTTAAAGCCAACATCTTGCTTGTTGTAATGAGAGTTCGTTTAATTTTTTTTTTCAAGGTTAAAGCTTTGAAAATTGAAGTTAAAAAAATAGGTAAACTTCACTCATCAATAACTTTTAAAAAAAAAAAAAAAAATCTTATTTAGTTTATATGTTTATTTACAACATATCCAAAATTCATGAGTGTAGTCCATCGGCAGACTTCAAAAACGAAAGTCAGAGAGGTAATTTTTTTAGCTATTTAATTTGTCATCATGGCAACCGTGCTTGTCTGCTTATTGCCAATTATCGATAGCAGCCGTGGGGTAGTAGTAATTAATTTTAAATAAATAAAAAAATGGTTTTAAAAAATAATTAACTATTTATTGGTTTAGTTTATGATTATGATCTATCAGTGATTTTAATTTTGAGGTTAGTTGCCATGGACTTTGAATTAAAATTGATAAGCACTTGTTTTGACTTAGTATTATATTATATATATATATATATATTTATAAACTAATTATTAAACCATATAATTAAATAAACTATGTATATATGTTTACATATTAGTACAGTTTTTTAACTAGCTTGGAAATTAAAGCAGAATATATTAACAGCTCGTTTTTTAAAACATTTTGCCGATAGCATGTGGTTCGAATATAAACATCCTGTCAAAAAATTTAAATCTCGAAGCAAAATGGGAATGGAATAATATAAATATTTGACTCAATTTACTACGATACAAACATTGGCACTACCAGCGGCTCATGGCCTTAACGAAAGAAACACCCAGCTGCTCCCACCGGCTCATGGTAGTTAATGGATTTTGACTTTTCTGACCTCTTCTGGATTTATAAAATGTATAAATTATAAAAGTGTATTTGATTTTTGTTGTTAATTTTTTATATTTTTTTATTGTCTTTTTAAATGTCTTAAAAGGGGTGAATTTTTTAGCCAGCATGTTTTTGCACTACTTTTTTTTTTTCAAACAGCCACCATCTTCATTGTCATGACACGTCTGTTGTCATGGCAACACAAATGGTGGCATTGTGAAAAAAAAGAAGGGCAAAAACACTGTAAAACAGGGGAAATGTCAATTACCAAATGAAAAGCTTAATCTGGAGCCACAGGTTGCAGACCGATGATATAGTTAGGCCTATCATCTTACCATACATATCTTGTATATCTCAGCTGATTTTAGCATTTAGTGTTTCACTATTTATCAATCAATCATTATTTATTTCATTGTAGAACAAGTTGTCTTCAACAAAATAAATTTTTAACTTATTAAATGATTTAGACTAGACCTAATATTATCTTATATACTGATATAAGTTATTGGTGACTTAAATCGACATTTAAAACTTTAGTCTCCACTCTACATGCAAATATTTCCCCCTCTTTTTAAAATTTCTGATTGAGAAGGTTTCTGAATGAATTATAGAAACTGAAAGGAATGATGTTATGAATTATAAAATTAAATTTTTTGTTTGTTTTTTTTCCTCAGGAGTCGGTTTCGCAACTCGTCTGATTGGTAATAAAGCAAAGCCAAGGCAGGAGATTAGTATAGACAATGGAGAGTGGACTATTAAAACTTCAACATCACTTTCTGGGACAGAAATCAAATTTAAGCCAGGTGTACCTTTCCAGGAAAAAACTATGGATGGAAGGAATGTCACTGTAAACATTTCTTTTGTGTAGATATTTTTTAAGAAACCAATTTTAGCACAAGCATGGCCATCAAAAACGTGTTATTTATTAATATTTACTGGCCAGTTAGGATTTTACAAAACTAACTAAAAAAGGGTTGGACCATGATAAAGCATTCAAGTAGATTAATGAGACACACATAGTGTAAATAAAACAATTATAACTACACAAAATACAAATTCAAACATTTCGGCATATTTCTTAATCAGTACAAGAGAAGAGATTCATATAAGTACAAATGAAATGTACATAATATATATATATAGCCTACAGATATATATGCATGTGTGTGTATATATAAATATATGTGTGTATGTATGCATGTATGTGTATATATATATATATATATATATATATATATATATATATATATATATATATATATATATATATATATATATATATATATATATATATATATATATATATATATATATAGGTAAATATATATATGTATACATATCCTACGTAAAACTGAAAGAAAAGGATAAGAATGGGCATAAGTCCCTAATGGAAACAAAGCTGAGAAGACCAGCAAAGCAAGTGTGTGGAACTACAATTTAAAAACCTACAGGAAAAAGACATTACAGCCATGAAAAATGTATATGGTTTATACCCTATGGAGTCTATGTACCAAATCTTGTTATTAATTTGTTTTCCATGTAAATTCTTCTATCAAGTGAATTACTGGGATACAATATATCAGTAACTGCAATGTATAATATTCCATAATGGTTAGCACTATTGAAATGTGTAGAAACAAGACAAAGGACTTATTTATATATTGATGCTGTACAGGTGTTCTCTAAAACGATCTCCAAGGCGATGACCTGTCTCTCCTACATTTGATTTTCCACACTTTTTACTAAGGATGGTGTAAATCACATTGCGACTTGGTAAAACCATCTTTGATTCTGAATATTTTCAGAAATCTTATAAACTTCAAATTTAAAGGGACATGTGTTACCGCTGTTATGGTTGCAGCTTTTGGTGCCTTTAAAGCAAAGACATGGCTTCTTACAAGCATGTCTCTAAGGCTCTTGTCCTTCAGAAAGTGAAAAGAGGATTTTTGAAAATCTGATTAGTTACAGGGTCTGCCATAAGGATGGACCCTTTTTTGATAACTAAATAATGAGCTATAAGGTTGTGGGAATTAAAAGTTAAAGTGTATTTAAACTGTGAGAATGAGTGTCTTTCAATGAATCATGTCTGGTTATACCTTTAATTCGAGTGACGGCTGCTTCTAATTTACCTCTGATTATCATTAATATTTCAGTCAACTTGCACCATTGATGGCAACAAGCTAATCCAGAACCAAAAAGCTGAAAAAGACAAACTTGACAGCAATATAGTTAGAGATTTCAAAAAGGATTCTTTTCTTATGGTATGGCATACTTTTTCACTTCTGTTCTTTTTTTATAAGGTGACAAATACTACTTCTTGGTCTGTTTCTTCTAAAATATCCACACATTTTCCTTTCCACCAACTCAGTTTTTTATGTTAATTTCATGAACATATACATTGGAGGGTGGGGGGTGTGTAAATAGTAGCTTATAATGAGCTTGTCCGATGTACAGATATCTCTGATTCTTTATGTTGGTTTGGAGACTTTTCTACCATTATTTTGTTCAATACCTGGTATTGTTCTGAAGAAAAACATGCCTTTTGCACACAAGATTTAATGAGGTCTGTTGGAGCTACAAATAAACAATCATATACATTATAAATATCTTAGCTATGTTCAGTCCAATACTCAATGATAAGAAACAACTGGGGCAAGTTACAGTCTGCTATCACCATGTTATTTATTGTATAATCAGAAAAGGTTATCTCCTTTTTTAAGTATCATTGATTTCTGATTTGGGTCAGGGACAAGAAGAAAGCTAATAGCCGTGAAACATAAAATTTATCCAAGTTTTATATTTTTTTATTTCAAACACGGAACTCCCGAAATCACAATTAATGTCAACAAGAAAAATGACCTGTTTGTTATTATTACACTGAGCACTCTTGTATAAAGTGCAAATAATTTCTGTATGAAAAGTGCTAAAAAAATGTAATTACAAATAAATTACGTATTGTGAAAATTGAAGCTCTGTGCAAAAGCTTCTCCAATTGTAATTTTATATCATGATGTGCAATCAAGACAAGTGTAAAAACATTTAGTTTGCTTTGAGACATCGTGTTAATAAAGAGATTCGCAATGCTGAGACTAGGCACAGTTGTTATGGGAAGGTTTCGGTCCAGTAATCCAAGGTTGGCACAGTTGTTATGGGAAGGTTTCGGTCCAGTAATCCAAGGTTGGCACAGCTGTTGTGGGGAGGTTTGGGTCCAGTAATCCAAGGTTGGCACAGTTGTGGTCGGGAGGTTTGGGTCCAGTAATCCAAGGTTGGCACAGTTGTGGTGGGGAGGTTTGGGTCCAGTAATCCAAGGTTGGCACAGTTGTGGTGGGGAGGTTTGGGTCCAGTAATCCAAGGTTGGCACAGTTGTGGTGGGGAGGTTTGGGTCCAGTAATCCAAGGTTGGCACAGTTGTGGTGGGGAGGTTTGGGTCCAGTAATCCAAGGTTGGCACAGTTGTTGTGGGGAGGTTTGGGTCCAGTAATCCAAGGTTGGCACAGCTGTGGTGGGGAGGTTTGGGTCCAGTAATCCAAGGTTGGCACAGTTGTGGTGGGGAGGTTTGGGTCAAATATTTAGTTTAATTTCTATCCTACCATATTTTACCAAATGACAAAATTGATATTTCTCAGACTTTGACTGCTGGCAAGGTGACATGCACCAGGGAGTACAAGAAAGTGAATTAAAACATTGAATCTCTTCTAACTGTGACAAGCCGATGCATCAGATGCATGCTTCTGGTGGACTGCTGCTTTTTATGTTACATTATTTTTAAAGAAAGCAGTTTTCAATTGTATTTATTTATTTAGTCATATTTGTTTAAAATGAACCAGTAAATGTGTTTGGCCATCACTGCAAATGATAGAAGCTAAATTTTCTAAATAAATATACCTTGAGTTTTACTGAAAAGGCGAGGCCTTATGTTGGGAAGTATTGGTTTTTGAAAGTGTTTCTGAAGCTATTTAAAATAAATAGTCTTTTACAATAGACCAGCACCTATGGGATGGACGTTTTTGTACCAGCTATTCTGTGAATAGCACATTAATTATTTATTGATCCACCCTGGACCTCACAACAATTTGACTGAGTTCTCAATGATGTGATGGCATTTTAGTTTTACTCACCATCTGTCAGCATAAGATTATTTTGTATGTCCCACGCATTTTAAACCACTTTTATTATACAGGGGCCAGATGTTCTGGGAGCTTAATGTTTTACCTATGGTCAACAATATATGCCACCACTTTTATAACTATGGGTCAGATGTTTCAGCTTTAAGTTTTAACCTTTGTTTAGCCATATATATCACCACTTTATTTGATGTGGATGTTTTAGTATTGAGTTTAATCTATGTTTAACCAAATATATCACCACTTTATTTGATGTGGGTCAGATGTTTTAGTATTGAGTTTAATCTATGTTTAGCCAAATATATCACCACTTTAGTTGATGTGGGTCAGATTTTTCTTACTTCTAGGAGACTTTATCGGTACCAGTATTCAGACCATGGGACTTTCCCTCTCAATAAATCTTTAAAATGCTGCCTAAGAAGAAAGTCACTTGTGTTATTATCAGAAGAGGTTAGGAGAGCACTAAAAAGCCACTAGAATTTTGCTAGGGTCGTTCAATCAGCTGGACTATTTGCACTTTAGTCATATTGAGAATGTTCCTTATCTAGACGTTAGTTCCTCCCTACATTTTAAGATGTTCTATTAAATGTGTTGTGTTTTTTTAAATAATCCCTTTGCTACATTTACTGAATATTTCTAGAAGAATTTTTAATTTCTCAAGGTTACATGTTAATTAGATCCATTTATTTCTACACTAATTATTGTAGTGTTGATTTTTGTCAACATTTTTATTTAAATTTTGTGAGCTTGTTCCATTTTAAAGTTCAGTACAATTTTTAATGCAATGCTGGACTTGAAGTTTGAAGTCAAAATGATACATTTTGTCAGAATAAAGTAATGAGGAAAATAATGAACTTAATTTGTTTTTTAAAGAATGTTGTTTTATTTTAAATTTATCAAACGTGCAGCAATAGGGCGTATTTAGGCTTGAACACAGTTCAGTACCAAAAAGTTCATTTTTGTGTGTGGATGCTAACATACTTTTTTTATAGTTGGAGAGCATCACTGTCTTCAAACTACCCTGTGAAGTACTTTGTCATGGACGTTGATTAGGAAATAGTACCATCACTGTCTTCAAACTACCCCATGAAGTACTTTGTCATGGACGTTGATTAGGAAGTAGTACCATCCCTATCTTCAAACTACTCCATGAAGTACTTTGTCATGGACATTGATTAGGAAGTAGTACCATCACTGTCTTCAAACTACCCCATGAAGTACTTTTTTATGGACATTGCTTAGGAAGTAGTACCATCACTATCTTCAAACTACCTCATGAAGTACTTTGTTATGAACATTGATTAGGAAGTAGTACCATCACTATCTTTAAACTACCCCATGAAGTACTTTGTCATGAACATTGATTAGGAAGTAGTACCATCACTGTCTTCAAATTACCCTGTGAAGTAATTTGTCATGACCGTTGATTAGGAAGTAGTACCATCACTGTCTTCAATCTACCCCATGAAGTACTTTGTCATGGACATTGATTAGGAAGTAGTACCATCACTGTCTTCAAATTACCCTGTGAAGTCATTTGTCATGAACATTGATTAGGAAGTAGTACCATCACTATCTTCAAACTACCTCATGAAGTACTTTGTCATGGACATGATTAGAAAGTAGTACCATCACTGTCTTCAAATTACCCTGTGAAGTCATTTGTCATGAACATTGATTAGGAAGTAGTACCATCACTATCTTCAAACTACCTCATGAAGTACTTTGTCATGGACATTGATTAGGAAGTAGTACCATCACTGTCTTCAAATTACCCTGTGAAGTCATTTGTCATGAACATTGATTAGGAAGTAGTACCATCACTATCTTCAAACTACCTCATGAAGTACTTTGTCATGGACATTGATTAGGAAGTAGTACCATCACTGTCTTCAAATTACCCTGTGAAGTCATTTGTCATGAACATTGATTAGGAAGTAGTACCATCACTATCTTCAAACTACCTCATGAAGCACTTTGTCATGAACATTGATTAGGAAGTAGTACCATCACTATCTTCAAACTTCCCCATGAAGTACTTTGTCATGAACATTGATTTGGAAGTAGTACCATCACTATCTTCAAACTACCTCATGAAGTACTTTGTCATGAACATTGATTAGGAAGTAGTACCATCACTATCTTTAAACTACCCCATGAAGTACTTTGTCATGAACATTGATTTGGAAGTAGTACCATCACTATCTTCAAACTACCCCATGAAGTACTTTGTCATAGACATTCATTTGGAAGTAGTACCATCACTATTTTCAAACTACCCCATGAAGTACTTTGTCATAGACATTCATTTGGAAGTAGTACCATCACTATTTTTAAACTACCCCATGAAGTACTTTGTCATGGACATTCATTTGGAAGTAGTACCATCACTATCTTTAAACTACCTCATGAAGTACTTTGTCATGGACATTCATTTGGAAGTAGTACCATCACTATCTTTACACTACCCCATGAAGTACTTTGTCATGAACATTCATTTGGAAGTAGTACCATCACTATCTTTAAACTACCTCATGAAGTACTTTGTCATGAACATTGATTAGGAAGTAGTACCATCACTATCTTCAAACTACCCCATGAAGTACTTTGTCATGAACATTGATTTGAAGTAGTACCATCACTATCTTCAAACTACCACATGAAGTACTTTGTCATGAACATTGATTTGGAAGTAGTACCATCACTATCTTCAAACTACCCCATGAAGTACTTTGTCATAGACATTGATTAGGAAGTAGTACCATCACTATCTTCAAACTACCCCATGAAGTACTTTGTCATGGACATTGATTAGGAAATAGTACCATCACTATCTTCAAACTACCTCATGAAGTACTTTGTCATGAACATTGATTAGGAAGTAGTACCATCACTATCTTCAAACTACCTCATGAAGTACTTTGTCATGAACTTTGATTAGGAAGTAGTACCATCACTATCTTCAAACTACCCCATGAAGTACTTTGTCATGAACATTGATTTGGAAGTAGTACCATCACTATCTTTAAACTACCCCATGAAGTACTTTGTCATGAACATTGATTAGGAAGTAGTACCATCACTATCTTTAAACTACCCCATGAAGTACTTTGTCATGGACATTCATTTGGAAGTAGTACCATCACTATCTTTAAACTACCTCATGAAGTACTTTGTCATGAACATTGATTAGGAAGTAGTACCATCACTATCTTCAAACTATCCCATGAAGTACTTGGTCATAGACATTGATTAGGAAGTAGTACCATCACTATCTTCAAACTACCCCATGAAGTACTTTGTCATAGACATTGATTAGGAAGTAGTACCATCACTATCTTCAAACTACCCCATGAAGTACTTTGTCATGAACATTGATTAGGAAGTAGTACCATCACTATCTTCAAACTACCCCATGAAGTACTTTGTCATGAACATTGATTAGGAAGTAGTACCATCACTATCTTCAAACTACCCCATGAAGTACTTTGTCATAGACATTGATTAGGAAGTAGTACCATCACTATCTTTAAACTATCCCATGAAGTACTTTGTCATAGACATTCATTTGGAAGTAGTACCATCACTATCTTCAAACTACCCCATGAAGTACTTTGTCATGAACATTGATTAGGAAGTAGTACCATCACTATCTTCAAACTACCCCATGAAGTACTTTGTCATGAACATTCATTTGGAAGTAGTACCATCACTATCTTCAAACTACCCCATGAAGTACTTTGTCATGAACATTGATTAGGAAGTAGTACCATCACTATCTTCAAACTACCCCATGAAGTAATTTGTCATGAACATTCATTTGGAAGTAGTACCATCACTATTTTCAAACTACCCCATGAAGTACTTTGTCATAGACATTCATTTGGAAGTAGTACCATCACTATTTTTAAACTACCACATGAAGTACTTTGTCATGGACATTCATTTGGAAGTAGTACCATCACTATCTTTAAACTACCTCATGAAGTACTTTGTCATGGACATTCATTTGGAAGTAGTACCATCACTATCTTTAAACTACCCCATGAAGTACTTTGTCATGAACATTCATTTGGAAGTAGTACCATCACTATCTTTAAACTACCTCATGAAGTACTTTGTCATGAACATTGATTAGGAAGTAGTACCATCACTATCTTCAAACTACCCCATGAAGTACTTTGTCATGAACATTGATTAGGAAGTAGTACCATCACTATCTTCAAACTACCCCATGAAGTACTTTGTCATGAACATTCATTTGGAAGTAGTACCATCACTATCTTCAAACTACCCCATGAAGTACTTTTTCATAAACATTGATTAGGAAGTAGTACCATCACTATCTTCAAACTACCCCATGAAGTACTTTGTCATGGACATTCATTTGGAAGTAGTACCATCACTATCTTTAAACTATCCCATGAAGTACTTTGTCATAGACATTCATTAGGAAGTAGTACCATCACTATAATAAAAAAAACTACAATGTAAGAGGTTAACTTTGTAGGCCTTCCATTAAACTTAGTGTGATGTTACCTTTGTAATACCCGGGTAGATGGGACTCGTCAACCTTTGAAGGCAAATCATCTATAAGAGTAGGAAACTCTGAATTCAAAACCTAGAGATGGAGTCCTGTAGGCGGATAACATTGGTACAATGAAACATTCCGGCAACTCCTGTGACGTCACTGGTGCCAAGCTGTAGTATGCCCTTGATGTTCACTTGGGTTATCCAGCGGCGTGGAGAGAGGAGATTTGCTGGTGGAGAGAGGAGATTTGGTGGTGGAGAGAGGAGATTTGCTGGTGGAGAGAGGAGATTTGGTGGTGGAGAGAGGCGAGTTGGTGGTGGAGAGAGGAGATTTGCTGGTGGAGAGAGGAGATTTGGTGGTGGAGAGAGGAGATTTGCTGGTGGAGAGAGGAGATTTGGTGGTGGAGAGAGTCGAGTTGGTTGTGGAGAGAGGAGATTTGCTGGTGGAGAGAGGAGATTTGCTGGTGGAGAGAGGAGATTTGGTGGTGGAGAGAGGCGATTTGCTGGTGGAGAGAGGCGATTTGCTGGTGGAGAGAGGCGATTTGCTGATCCGCATTTTAAAAAAAAATTAAGGACAAATCGGTTTGTGTTTAAATTGGGACCACTAGGTATGTGTTTAAATTGGGACCACTAGGTTTGTGTTTAAATTGGGACCACTAGGTATGTGTTTAAATTGGGACCACTAGGTATGTGTTTAAATTGGGACCACTAGGTATGTGTTTACAGTGGAAATTTAGGGTATGTGTGGAAATTAAGGTATGTATTTAAATTGTGACTAATAGAAACGGTTTTAAATTGGGAAATGTAGTAACGTGTGCCTGTGGGACCACTCGGTAAGTGTTGAACTTGGGACCACTAGGTAAGTGTTGAACTTGGGACCACCAGGTGTGCGTTTACATTAGAACTGCTTATACTACTTTGTTTTCAAGTAGAGCACAACCCAAGGGAAGGGACGGTTTGTTTGTCCAACATTGCATGTGATCTGTAAGCCAGGTTTTCTCCAAAAAGTAGGTCAAAGTATTTATGAGAGCATGATAGGTCACCTTGTGCTATTGGATCAGTGATTTATATACCAAAGTTTTACTGGACTTAGTTTATTATCGCTCTTAAAATTGAACAATCTTCACACACAATTCCCCCCCCCCCCCCCCNTGGTAACTATAGACATTAACGCAAGCCTAGGAAAATCAGCTGTCCACTGGTAACTATAGACATTAACGCAAGCCTAGGAAAATCAGCTGTCCACTGGTAACTATAGACATTAACGCAAGCCTAGGAAAATCAGCTGTCCACTGGTAACTATAGACATTAACGCAAGCCTAGG